AGGTGTGTATCTTTTCGAAAAGATGCTTCAAATGTTTTTGGAAGTTTGTTTTGAAAGTGTTTGTGGAGTGTGGTTTTGAAAAAAATAGGCAAGTGTTTTTGCAAGTTTGATCAAGTAACTAAGAGTTGTCTACTCCTATTGTACTCAAAGGTTTTTCTCATGTTTTAACCCCTTTTAACAATTTTGTTCCATCATTGTATTTGGTGGACAATCTTGTGTTAGGATGTTAACGGGACGGGCACGGGTCATCGTATGGACCATGAATGCAATGGTGCCAAGTGTCTTTGGAAATTTGCTTGAAGGGACTATGATCATTCTGTTTAGGCAACTTTCGAAAGCGTCATCGAGGGACTTATGATCATTTGGATTGTTTTGCCAAAGAAACTCAATGTGCAAGCATGGCCCATTTTGGAAGGCAATAAGCGGGATTACCCTAGGGGTGCAAGTGTGATTGTGTATTGATTTCATGTATTTGTCTTGTATTAGGTTATCTAGCGTTTGATTTTATGTACATACAAACCCTAGGTCTAACCATGGTATATTTGAAAGCGATAAATTGCGGGAATTTAAAGTCTACGCTATTACAAATAAGTATCCGGGAGTGGGGGTACAAATATTTACAAATGGGGATGAGACTTAAATAATTACAACCAAGTCGAATCGATCGCAATGTAAAATGTATCAAATGTGCGAGAATAAAGCAAAGTAAATGTATCAATGTGTCAATGTATAAAGATAATCAAATGTGTATTGTAAATGTGTTTGTGTAGGATTGTTTACAAGTTTGAGAAATGTTAACTTAATGAAAAAATTAAGTATTTGATTTAATTTTGTATTCTTTGATTTTACTTGTGTATTGTTATCATGTTTTGTATTTTGGTTAATATGTACAAAGAAAATATTTTAAGAAAAGAAAAGAATGTTTTAAGTTCTATTTTTTATGTATTAAAAAATTAATGTATTTTAATTAATTATGTACAAAATGTTTTAGTTAAAAAATATTCAACCTAAAAAATCTATTTCTTTATGTATTTTTTTATAGATGTTTTAAACAAGATTTTCATTTAAATAAAAGAGTTTTAATACAAGAAAAGAAAAATGTTTTTAAATGTGAGAAAATTATTATGTTCATTTTTTTTAGTTAATATTCTATACAAGATTATAACTATGTTATGAAAAGAAAGTATTGTTAATAAGATTTGATGTAAAAATAAAGTTAGTATATTAAGTTATTTTAACAAAGTAAATTATAAAAAGATTTAATGTAATCCACAAAAAATATTAAACAAAATAGAAAACAGATTTGGAATGGGCTAAAGGGGGTTTTGGCCCATACTTAAACAATCAGAAGGAGAAAACAAAGGGGGGTGCGCGCTGGCTTGCAATGGGCTTAAGCGCTGATTAGAATGGGGCAAGGCCCAACGCAAACATGACATTCTTGTTTAGGGTTTCAGTTAATGTGTTTCATTTGGAATTCTAGGGTTTGTGAGTTACGAACGGCGCTCATCTTCCTTCGTCTTCCTTCGTCTTTCTCAAGCTACTGAATAAGATTTCTTCCTCGCCCACGGCCATCGATCGCCACTTCTGCTTCCTCTCCCTCCATGGGTGAGCACAATGGCGCCAAGAAACGGTAAAACATCCCTCTTTTATACTTTAGGGTTTTGATCTTTTTATATGTTTATATTTCATATTCTGATTATACATTATTATATGTATTCTGATTTGAGGCACATGAAAAGGAGGAAAGATTATACTACCTTTGTTGGAGGAGAACGGCGGACTTGAAGGCGCTTCAGGCGGCCAAGGGTGGAAGAACGTGATGTGCGAGCTTGGAAATCTGGTACCGTGTGTCTTTCCCTTTTTGTGTTGGTTTGATGATGATGCTTGAAAACCCTTACTTTATCACTTCTTTTCTTCTTCTCTACTTGCCTTGCTTTTGTATGATGGCTTTGATGCGTGAAATATTTGAGTATATTTGTATGTTTGATATGCTTGATTGCTCTTGAATGCTTCTAAGTGATGACAAATATAGATGTTGTTGTTGGCCCTGAATATGCTTGTTGATTATCTGAACACAAACTTCTTTATCTTCTTCTCTTTTACTTGCTTCTGTTGCCTTGAAATGCTTGGATGATGTTGGGTAACCCAATGATGAAAATTTTCTGAGGGTTTGTGTTGCCTTGAATGCTTAGGCTTCAGTTTGTGGCTATGGCTTTTGGTGAGCTTACAAGTTTGCTGGCTTCAGGCCTTTATGCAGTATCAGGTTTGAGCTGGTTATGGGCTTTTCTCTGGTTCATGGTTTTACTGGTTTTTGTTTGTAATGTTATTTTGAAAGGGAAGAGGGTTTGTTGGGAATTTACAGGTTTGGAAGCTTTGAATGTTTTTAGGCCATTGAGGTTTTTTGGGCTTCTGTTTATGTTGTATAGTTTTGATGCTTTAGGGTTTATCTGGCTTTTGACTGGATTTTGAAGCGGGTTTAGGCTTTTTGGCTTATGTTACAGTAGGATTTAAGCTTGACAGGGTTGGTGTTTTGAATGGTAAGGCTTGAAAGGCTTATGCAGGTTGCAGGTCATGGGTTGAGAGTTTGTATAATCTCATGGCTTTTGTTACAGGGTCTTGCTTTAAGGCATATGCAGGCTGATGCTTAGACACAGTTTGTGATTCTTTGATCTTTGTGTTGGAGACAGTTCTGTTCCTTTTCTATGTTACAGTTTGGAGGGTTTTTTATCTGTTTTATATCTCTGCCTTTCTACTGTTCTATTAGTTCTGTTTTATATCCTAAAGCCTAAGCCCTGTAAGCCTTTCTTTTCCTCTTCTCTCTCTCCACAATTTTAAGCATTATTATATTGCTTATGTACTATTTTCTGAAAAAGCAATGGCCTTGAAAATGATGAAATCTTTTGAATATGCTTGCACTCTAATCTTTCTCTGCATACTTTGTACTTCTTGATATTTGCATATCTCTTTTGACAGCTTTTGGTGGCCTTTTGTACTTGTTTGATATCTTGATATCTTTCCATATCCTTGGACAGTTTTTTGACATTTAGTTCAGTTTGGATTTGGACTTTGTTTGGCATGCTGTTTGTTTGGAAACTATGCAGTTGGTTGACAATTTGAACTTGTGCAAAATCATAACTTTGTGCATTCATACCTTTTTCTTTTGCAAGCATTTTTCATCCCTCTTTGTGAACCGGGAGAAATCTCGTGATTTGCAGAGAGGGCAAACTGATTCCGGCCAGTTGCTTTTAATGATGATTTGTCTGCCTTTAATTATTTTATCTGCTTTTGATTTCTATTCTCTTTCTTTTTGCAAATAAAACTTGATGGAGCATTGGAGAGCAGCAAATGGAGGATGAAGAATTAGAAGTTTAGGATAGTTTCAATTTATTCTTCAATTATTTGTAAAATTATCATTGGAAACAAAATGTAAATAAATTTACAGTTGTTTAAAATAATAATTTGTAACAAACAATTAATTATGAATGAAATCCTTTTTGATCAATTAATTCCTTTTATTTCCTTTCAATTGTTTAACTTAACTATTTGAATTTCTTAAATTAAAATAATTGGAAGTAAATCCAATTATTCTGACTTTAGAAAAAAGAAATAATTAATAAACGTCCGGCGTTCCGAATTAAACATAGCAATGCACAGTCAAATCAACACATGCCCAAATGTCTTTTCCTTGTACTGATTTAATCCAACACTGCAAACTTAATCCAAATGCTTCAGTCCAAATTTCAGAGTAAACTGAAAAGAACTATAGACTTAATTCTTTCTGAGAAATACGCGCATAAAAACCCTAGTTCTTGATTAAATGTCAGAGAAGCGCCTGCTTGATCAAAACCTGAGCCAACTCAACCAAACCTTAGCAATCTTCCTGAACTGCTTTAAAAATCAATGAAAACCCTAAATTTTGTCTGATTGACGAGAAAAGTCTGTTTGACTGATTCTTAAGCCAGTCTGAAAAAATCAGGAAAAGCCCGAAGCTGTGATTTCTTGTGGAAAAATACGAGGGAAAATTTTGGGGTACAACAGGCGGTCCAAGAAAAAGTTAGGGAATTAAAGCGTATGACTATGTCCAGTTGGGATCACCTTATGGACATCCTTACGGACAACCTGCAAACTCGACGGTTCTGATCAATTCAATCAGCTTCGGACAAGGCAACAAATAGACAAGATGCTCAAAGACACGAAGGCTATAGCAGAATGGGAACCCCATGGGATTATTGCACATTGCTATCTTTTCTTTGTATCAAAATTTTCATTTTTTACGAAGAAATTGTCTTACTAGAATGTTTGTCTCATTGTACAAAAATACTTACTCAAAGTCAATACAAAAATATGCCTTTGAAAGTGCAAAACTATTTGTTTTCCTTTACTCCCACTAGTGCAGAAATGAATTTTTACATCGGGTGAAACTGACTTTTTACATCGGTTCTGGGTCCGATGTAAAGTCAGGCGATATAGTAAATTAGGTACTTTTTACATCGGTTCTGGGACCGATGTAAAAAGTCCCTTTCTTACATCGGTTATAATATAAGAACCGATGTAATAAACAGTTATTATGCACATTTTTTAAAAAGTTGATCCAGTTTTTTACATCGGTTGGAAGTAATACCCGATGTAAAAAGTCCCCAGTGACGCAACTTTTTACATTGGTTATTATTCCCAACCGATGTAAAAAGTCCCTTTTTTGAAAGTTTTTACATCAGTTTTTACTAATAACCGATGTAAAATGTATGCAATTTTTTTGGAATAGATTATTTATTTTCTGGATGTTTCCCTGTACAAATATAATTTGTACCCATTTTTTCATATTTTTCCAATATCACACAGACTATATTTATGTCGCTATATAGATTTCATAGCTTTCCAACATCACATATATCACATCTAGGTCGATGTTTTCATATTTTTCACAACAAACTTACAAATTGAACAATTGTATTGCAAACTTGTATTGTATTACAACAAACAAACTTACAATTACAAATTCTTCACAATGCTGATCTTGGCCCAGTTGCGTTTTGTATGGCAGTACGAATATCATCATCAGTCAAGCCTTCACATGGATCTACCTCCTTCAAGATAGTATAAAGTTACACAACAAGTCTCAAAGTAGGTAAATTAAAAGAAAAAGAACAGAAGCAACACAAATCCTAGGTTGTGTGGCATTGACTACTCTTTTTGCCTATATAAAAGTTGGCAGGTTAGACATCCACTTAGTATAACAAAAGAAATAACCCATTTCCACCCTTGAAATGCAATTAAGGGATGCTTGGATATTTATTAAACAGATAAAAATTGGTAGGTTAGACATCCACTTAGTATAACAAAAAAAAAATAGGCTAGTTGATTGTTTCTAATCAGATTCAAATGGGCTACTCTGTAAATTATAGTTGTCTTTTCTATCTCTACTTTAAGTATGATATAAGAATATATATAAGTATAACAATAATGTTATATCATCATATAAATACAGCAATATATACCTCTAAACTCCCGACAAAGATGGATTGAAAAATATAATGAATCCGAGCCCCACCAGATAACTCGGATGTGGACATCTCCTCATTCTTTCCCTCAATCATGGAGGAGAATGCTATTTTCAGAAAGAAAGAACATGGAGATAGCAGTTACTGAATTAGTAAAGGTAAAGATATGTGGATACCAGTTAACAAATACAAAAGAAACGAAAAATAAGAATTCATAAATGGAAAAGCAGAGAAAGAAAATAAACCAGATTGTAGGGATAGGTACCTTCACAATATTTTGAAAGAATGTTCAGGAGAAGAGCACCCTGACCGGTTTGTTGAGGAATAACGATTAAAAAGTATAGATAAAATGAGGCAAAAATCTAGCCAAAGTATATGATATGATATTTAATTAAATAAGGAGAATGATTATCCAGTAAATTTAACTAATAATTAGTTAACAGGTCATAGTGACATATGCAAGACAGGTCCAGTATTAACACATGCCTTAGACTCCGTGATTTCTCCATAGCTCGCATGCTCCTTTGCAACAGTAACTAGGTTATTGCTTATATGTGCTCTCAACCCAGGTAGCACAACTTTGATATGTTGTGCTAGAATCTGCAAAGTAATGGACAGGCAATTATACATGGCATCCATCAGTCCATAAACCACAAACTTAACCGAATTCATAATGGTCTCTTTTTAAAAATAGCATAATTTAGATCTTTTTACTGTGTTTTTCGAAGAATGATTTTAACAGTTTTCCCTCTCCCATGTTGATATAGCATTTTTTTCCGAGACAATTATAACATGGCCATATTCTCTTTAGACTCTTTCAATCTCAAACAAAATCAAGCCACAAATAAATACTCTAATAAAGTTCATTATTTCATGACACCCAAATAAAAAACCGCATTACTCTCCAACTTTAAAGGATCATACAAATTATTGACAGCAAAAATACTAAGGATTTAATTCATATTTCCCTTGACGGTGTAAAGATTTTTGACACGGACTGTTAATCATAACCGTTTGATCATTAAAAAAGTTTAACTTTCATCATATATAACTTAAAAGTCATACAAATGAAGGGTTATTATTGGTTCTCATAATTTTAAAAGTTCTACACTGTCATTGTATGCTAGTTAATCTAAAACTACAAAGCAAATAAAAAATCAGCATTAAAAGTGAAGCAACTAATTTATTTTCTTGAATTGAAAGCCCACTTCTATAGTTAAGAATATGCCTAAATTATACTACTAAGGAGGAAAGCTTTTAAATGCCTTTATATTGAGGAAAATCAAGATATTGGCGTGACAAATGTATAAGGCGAAAATGAGAAGAGAAAGGGATGCCACAACAGTGTAACAGTAAAATATATTTTAAATTTACTTTAAATGAAATAAAGGCTCTACCTGGTTTAACTTCTTTTCTAGTTGAGGTATACCACAACTATCTGCTAGACCGTTGTATACCTATGAAGAAAAAATGGACAAACATTAGTATAGAGTATATATTAAGTAAAAAGCTTGAATACAACTAAGCTTAGGAATTTCCTTACAGGACGGCTGCGGAAAAATTTCTCTTCAGCAACAAGAGCATCTTTTATACTCCGGTTCATTTGAATGTCCTATTTTACCAAATAAGAGAAACCATATTTCAGTATAACACATTGACTTGCACGTTATTCAAGCAATTAGCATATGCATCTTTGTTTGCAAAGTGTTATTCCATTTAGAAAAGAAAAAAATCTAACAGAATATATGTGATAGTTAAATTAGTCAAACAACAAATTCATCATAGTATGATAATATCATTACCTCCTGACTACGATTTACAACGCCAACATAGCCAAGTCGGAGGGGAATAACTTTTCCTTGTAACAAATTTCGGGCGTCAGTACCTCAGTCCATGATATCAAACTTCATAGCAGAAAAAATGTGTCGAACAGTCAGAATGACTCAACAGCATATAACAAAATCCATAAAGATACACATATAATGTTAGAAGAGTATACTGAACCTTTATGATTACATCGATCGTTCTATTACCTGCATCATATATAAAACCATTTAAAACAAATTAAATAGATGCAAAAGAATATTGAAAGCTTTTAGTATATGGAAGCAAAAGCATACCCTCGGGATCAGCCACTCCTGCCATCTGAAGAGCATCGGAATTAGCCAAATCTGAATTTGCCGGTGTGACAGCTAGAATAAGACATGAGGGCTCTTTGATATATGACATGATCATTGTTCTGATCCGGGCTTCAATATCAGAAGGCTGATCGCCAACGGGAACCTTTGTAATACCTGGGAGATCTACAAGTGTCATGTCTAGAACATTTGGTGAAACAATCTTCAAACCAATTTGTTTCACTCTCCGTTGGACCATTGAATGCATGCATATAATGAACTTCAAATATATGGACATGACCTTTGAAGAACCTTCATGAACGGAAACGTCGATGATGGTGGCTGGGAAACGGCGGTGGTAACGTTTGTGAAACAGCGGTCGTAAGGGTCGTATGCGTACAATGGAAAGGAGTGAAACGACGGCTACAGAATATTGTACAGTGGAAATGTTGAAATATTTTGAATTTGGGAAATAAGGGTTTGGAAGCTATTACCTCGGTGGAAATGAATACCCGATGTAAGGGTTGGCTTAGTGGAGAAGCTATTACATCGATGGATCCTAATAACCGATGCATGACCTTTTTCTGACTTTTTTACATCGGTTTAAACTTCCACCGATGTAATATGTTGCATGTTTTTTATTAATATTCTTTAATTTATTTTTTATATTAATATCTGCTGTGAAGATATTACATCGGTTTTTAGTTAACCGATGTAATATGTTGCATGTTTTTTATTAATATTTCTACTACCTTGTTTCTTATTTACAAAAATGCCACCGTGTTTTTTTCTGAAAACTTTTTACATCGGTGGATGTGTTTGCCCGATGTAATAGGTAGCGAAATATATTTTTTTTCTTATTTTTATATCATTGCAAATAAATACCTGATGTAAAAAGTTTGTTAATTGTATTTTTTACATCATATATTTTGATATCCGATGTAAAAACCTTTTCTCAAATGTCTTTTTTTTAGTAGTGTCCTGTGTTTTGTTTACAAAAACGTCCAATGATTTATTTTTGAACATATGAATTTGAACATAATTACTGTTTACAAATGAACAAAATAAAAGGACAATCACTGATGGCTTTAAGAGGTAGGGAAATCTCTTTAAGTTATTTCCATAAATTCCCCGCAGTATGCAGTTTTATCCCTAGCGGAACAGAGCTTCCAGTTATCAATCCCCAGTAGAAGTTGTTCAATTTATCAAGATTTCCCAACAGGATTTTACAGGAAGTACACGGCTTTTCCCTTACAACAAAGTTTATTTCTCTAAGCAGAAATTCGTGAACACTTCAACTTCACAACATGAAGACTTACATCCTCAGCAGTAGTCAGGGATTTATTTTCCACGATCCAACAATAGTGCAGCAGATTAACTCACATATACATCATCGCATCCATATATCATAAACATTGGTAACACGAATGCATGTAACACAATCTCATTATACCATGCATTTCATACAGCATGATATTGCATATTAGTTAACATTTTACCCTTTTCAGGATAAGGTTAACAGCTACCATTAACAATGTTCAAAGTTTCAGATACAGTTCAGATACGCTCTAGACACGGATTCCATCCTGATACTCATTCAGATTCAATCCTCAGATACAGCTCAGATACACTCCAGACACGGATGCCATTCTGATATTCATTCAAACTCAGCTTTCAGATATAGTTCAGATACACTCTAGACACGGATGCCATTCTGATACTCATTCAGAATCCACTCTCTAGATACAGTTCAGATACGCTCCAGACACAGATGCCATCCTGAAACTCATTCAGCCTCTCAAATACAGTTCAGATACGCTCCAGACACGGGTTCCATTCTGATACTCATTCAGATTCAGCTGCTCGGATACAGCTCAGATACGCTCCAGACACGGACGCCATTCTGATACTCATTTAGTTTCAGCTTTCAGATTCAGTTCATCAATCACTTTTGGATGGCATCTACAAGCCCATCTCCAACAACTTTCCATTATCTCTCCAAATGGAATATTAAATCCCATTCCCTATACCATCAACCATCAACCATCACATCACCGAGTGCAAAGTTCTTGGCACTCTAGTGTCCAATCATCTTCAACCGTCGAGTCACGAATGGAAAAACTCGCCAATCTAACTCTTCAGGCTTAAGAAGATTGAACAGGGGAAGCTGTTGTACCCCAAAATTTTCCCTCTCACATATCAAGAATTTGCTCACAAGATCTCTCTTGACTCAAGACTGCACTAGGGTTTGATCAGCTCAAGACACCTCCTTAAGCACTAATGACCAAAATTAGGGTTTGAGTTTGCACAAGGATATTTGAACTTCCAATTCCCCATATGAATTTCATAGGTCATTATGGACCCTCAAGATTACTCATGTCAAATTTCAAGCTTTGAATCACACTTTTGCTCAGTCAATTGAGTGGTTGACCTAAAAATCAACTATATTGAGGGAAAAGTCAACCATGGCCAATTTACAGTCAAAATTCATAATTTTTTATCCACATCGACATTTTAGACTCGTATGTATCATTTGATCAATTTTGTACCACAATTCCTCAAGAAATTTGATCAAATCTTTAAAAGGACAAAATTGTCAAAATTAGGGTTTTGACTGGGAAAGGGCAATTTCTGATTTGTGACCTAGAAAATGATCATTTGAGTTAAGTAATGATATCAAGAGTCCAATTGCATCATTTTTACCTAATGACATGGCTCAAAACGTTTCTCAATCCATTGGATTGACAGATGAATTTTCAGTCAACTGATCAAAAGTCAACTGTATACTGAAAAGTCAAACTTTGACTTTTTGGTCAAAATCAAATGCCAAAGATCACAATTCATCAAAACATGTCAAAATATGAAACTTATTCATCAAGAAATCAAAAAGTCAAGATTTCATTTTGAAAAGTCAAAATTTCTAAACTTAGAAATTTTTCTAAGTGTTGGAAATTTCTTATTTTTTCATAACTTTGAGCAAACTTTTCACCATGATGCAAGATAATTAAAGATAAACTTCCAACATGAAAGTTGTATATATCCAAGAAATATACAACTTTTCTTCACACAACTTCTTCCAAAAGTGCTTGGATCTCATGTTATAAGTTTAAGAACATGGGGTTATGAAACAAAACACTTAGTGAAATTTTGCCCTAATTTGGTCAGGATTTTGACCCAACTTCATGATACTTTTTCATATAGTTACAAGGGGAATCTTCAAAATAAACTCAAATATGGGTTGTAGAACACATTTCAAGCTTTCCAAAATGTCCAAGAACTCATTGAGATCATTCTTGAGTATGGAGAATCGAAGAGATGAAGTTAGGGTTTTATCACTTGAATTACAAGTCATGTTTGTGATGAACCAAATTCAAAATTCAAAGTATGCTGCATAACCTCTACTTTGCATGCCTAAAACTTGTTAAGAACTCCATAATTAATTGCTTGCACATCTGCTTGAGGTCTCATTTCAAGCATTCAATGCATGGACATACTTTATATCCATTTTGGTAAGAAAGTGTACATTGCCATTTTGATAAAGTGCTTTTTTTGCACAAAACTTGTTCTTGATCCTTGCACATGTTCTCTTCTGATCTTACAAGTCCCATAACTCATAAGAAATGGTTTAAACACTTACAATCACCTAGCCTATGCTTGTACTACACATTGAAACTTGGTTTCCCTCTTTTCTTGAAAATCAAGTAGCCTAGCCAAAAGCTTGTAACTTGTACTTCTGATTGTCAAAACCACTCCAATCCTTTTGCTTATAGATACACAAACTATTTGCATAAAATACACGAATTCTCAAACCCTTAAAAGACCTAGAACTCATAATCACATCTCATACCTCCATTTTCACATAAACTGACCAAGAACTTTAAACTCATAACTCCCTCGTGCGTTTTTAAGCCTTTTGGTTCCTAAAGCTTCTAAACATCATTTAGAACTTATCCGACACCCTGTTACAGAACTATAACACCATTAACATCATCCACCATTTTCAAAAATAGAGCTTTGCACTTGGACTTCTCCAGAACTCCTCAGGCCCTTTCAGCTCAAGCTAAGCATTCCATTAGCTTCTTGGGAATTTGAGGAAGCTAACCCAACCATTGGAACTCCTTGAAAGCTTCTCAAACTTCAAACCCGATACCCTCTTGCAAGGTAAGTTTTCTAACTTTGGAACTTTTCATACAAGCATCATCAATGATTTATTTGTGAATGAAAAATGTAGATATCATTGCCCTAAAGCTAACCATGTCCATAGGTTCCGTTAATTTTGCTTGAGCTTAAAGAATTTTAAGATTGAAGTTTCTGAGATTTTTAGGGTTCAGATTAGGGCCAATGAAATTCATACTTATCTTTGATCTATAGTTTTAATACTTTAGATTTCTAAAACCGTGAGGAAATTTGCTACAAGTTTCATGTTTACAGTTTTCATTTTTGTTGAGAAACAAACAAGTTATAGTTGGTCTGGTTGGAGGTTGAAGATGAAGTGTAAAACAGGGCGCGTTTTGTATCATATATTTATTGTTTTGCTTATGTTAACGGATGTATAGTCACCCCAGTGGTAGAAGCGCGCGTCTGTAACCTTTGGGACCTGGATTCGAGCCCCAGTGGTACCCTTTTGGATTTTTTGGATTTTTGCATTCTGACTTTCTTTTTTTGCCAGGGTGCTGGGCCTCCTTGGGCTTTGTTTGTTTTTTTGTTTTTTCTAGCTAACCCCCCTGTTTAATTTACACACCTCTGGCCCAATTTTAATTTTTTAATTTTTTTTAATTTGTTTTCTTAATTATTTTTTCTAATATTAAAAAATCACAAAAAGTATATTTTATTTTACAATACTTTATTTATTTTCTAATTATTCTTGTAAATTTAACTAAAAGTAGGATATTATTTATTTTCTTTTACACCAATTAAAATATATTTAATATAAAATAGGCCAAAAATATTTTATAATACTATAAATTATTTTCAAGACAAAAATACAAAAATACTTTTCTTAAACTTAATTTCCTTTTAATCAATTAATAGACTTAGGTTTTATTTAAAATATTTTCTTATTAAATTAGGTTTACTTTTATTATTTTAATTAATTATTTTCTTTTAATTAATTAGGTTAAAACAAATTCCCTTTTCCTAAAAAAAACCAAACAAATATCCATTTTCTTTATATTTGCATTCTTGCATATTTATGCATCTTGTACATTATTTATTTCAATTTTTGTACAAATTCAATTTGGTTGTACACCCCCTCTCACGAGGGTTGTA